GCTCTCCATCTTTTCAGAGTGAAGAGACTTTCCTTTAACATGGATCTTATTGTAAGTAGCTTCTAAAGGTGCTTTCCTCTGCTTACTTTATTTAGATGTCTTGTGGTCATTTTTAATCCCTATGTATGCAGTACAGTAATAATCCATCAAACAGCTTGGTTTCCAACCAGACAGTCAGCCAACCACTCCGGAAACCACTAGAGGTATCCAAGCATTTTTTTCTAGTAGTATTAATGTTTAAAATATGGCAATGCTTAGCTTATATTGTTCCTAGAATGAATTAAAATTCATGACATTTAATTAAATGACATCACCATCATAGTATTTCACTCTAAAGCAATTCTCTTCCTTTTATTCATTCTGATGAGGTTTTATTGTAAATAGGAGCAATTGTCTTTATAAAGATCAATCAACAGCTTGCTACTTGCTAAATCCAATGCAGTTTTTCATACATTATCTTCCTTTGCCCTCATGTAGTACTTGAAACTTTCTTGTATCACTCCTCTCCTGACTTTCATGTTATCATGTTCTACTAGTTTTCCTTCATCCTTTATGATTTTTCTTTCTTTGTCATCTGCACTGTCTTCTATTTTTCGAGCCACTCTTTTCATGATAGTGACCCCAAGTGTCTTAAAGACACCTCACACTCATGTTGAAAACTAAACTCATGTATTCCATCCCACTTCCATAAACCTGACCTTCATTCAACATTCTTTAACACCCGCCCCCAGAAAATGTTATTGCTTTTTACCTAGTTTTACAAGCCCAGCAAATCGGAAGCCAATCTTGCCTCCTCTCTCTTCTTCACTTCTACATGTTATTCATCAACAAATCCTGCGAACTATACCTCCTAAAGGTCATTTTTCTCCATTTTTGCCATTACCATCCCAGTTTACTCCATCATCATCGTCTCTCACATGTACAGCATTCTAAGTGGTCTCCTTGAATCTAGTCTTGCCTTCTTCTAATCCATTCCTTAAATTGTTGTCAACTATTTTTTTTTCTAATAAAATCTGATCATGTTACTTCCATATTTAAGACCCTTCTGTAATTTCTCATTGCTCTTCGAATAAAGACCAAAATCCTTAAGATATCTACAAAAGCCCTCCATGATCTGGATTTTGTCTCACTCTCCAGTTTCATCTCAGGTCATTCTTTCCTGTTTTTACTGGGTCTCTTGAATATGAGGATTTATGTCTTCTATCTCTTCTGGAAAATTCTTAACCATTATTGCTCTGAATATTGCCTCTGCCCATACTCTTTATTCTTTCCTGCTGAGATTTCTCTTAAACATACTTTGGGCATTTTTATTGTATCCTTAACCTCTCCTATTAATCTTTGTCTCTTAAAGCTGTGTTCTGGATTACTTCCTCTGGGTCTGCCACTTATTAATTTTGTTAACTTTTGCTCATGATGGTTTGTGTATTGGTGTGCTTTGTGATTTTAGATTGTGAATTTGTGTATGGTAGGGTTTTTATTGTTGCAATCCTTTGTGGCAATCACGAAGTGAGTGTGTGTCCTTCTGGAGACATTTAGTATTTGTGTTTGCCTCTGACAGGTTCCTCAGAAATGTCACAGAGTGGGGTCACTTCTTATTTATTGGCTTTGGTGTCCCTAGAATATGTAGGTAGTGGAAAGCTTGTATGATGGAAAATCTGTGGTAACTAATTTTCAAGGAGAAAAAAATTTTATAATCTATAAACCAGTAAAATATAGACAGACTTCCTTTTTTAATAGGTTTATTTTTTCCTAGTTCCTCCTTACCCTTAGGGTGTAGACTACAGAGGATCTTGGGTTTTTTTTGTTTTTTTTTTTTTTCAGTACGTGGGCCTCTCACTGTTGTGGCCTCTCCTATTACGGAGCACAGGCTCCAGATGCGCAAGCTCAGCGGCCATGGCTCACAGGCCCAGCCACTCCGCGGCATGTGGGATCTTCCCAGACTGGGGCACGAACCCGTGTCCCCTGCATCAGCAGGCGGACTCTCAACCACTGCACCACCAGGGAAGCCCAGGATCTTGGTTTTTAAATAGAGTCTAGGTTTCAAATTCCCACTTCTTACAGACCCAAGACCTTCTTGCCCCTATATAACCATTAAACCCCAAGTCCCATTTTTGAAGAACAGCGAATACTCTCAGATCCACTAAAGTGTAAACTTACTCATACAGTTTTTCAATAAATATTTATTAAATGCCTGCTATGCCAAACATTATTATACATACTGTAGATTTAGCATTCCTATTTTGAAGTTTCTATTTGGAGACTATTAAGCAAAAGAAATATCAAAAACTTAAAAATTAAGCGATAGTATAGCTATTTTCTCATTCAGTGTCATACTGGAGCATTGGATAATGGGCTCAAGAAAGGACTATTTAATACTTTAGGAGAAGGTACTTCATTTGACATAATATTTACTATTCACTAGGGCCCAGAATCTGAAACGTTTCATGTAAACTTATTAGGTTTTGTCTAGTAGATGTGCAAATCATTCCTATCAGGTAAAAAATAATAATAATAATAATCTTAAAGAGCACAGTCTTTTTGCCATATAAGACATTAACCAATTTTGTATCTAATATGTCTTTCCTAGTGGACTATTAAAACCCCTATTCCTCTAATTATCCTTTAACCCAACTTTACCTTCCTGCTTATTCCCTCGTTAATGAATTAAATCTTTGACATGTTCTCACTTTATATTTGTATGAGAATCATGTTTATAATTTTTTATAATTCACATGTTTACAGGCCCCCAACAATTTCCTTTACTGCAAGTTCTGATATGCTTATAAACAGACGCTTGCTATATTCTCTCCAGCATTACCAAATGTTTAATAGTAGGAGGTTTTCTGTTCACTTAACCTCCCATATCTATAGAAAAGAAACACACCTCCTCCTCTGTGCTTTAAGCGCACTGGCCTTCTTTCATTTGTGCAGAGTTCTGTCATTTCTCTGCCCTCTAGGACTTTGCAGCAACTTTTTCTCTCCCTGGAATTCCCTCTTTAATTCCTGTTTCCTTTTGCTTGGTTAACCTCTACTCTTCCTTCAAATCTCAAAAGTTATCTCCTTAGGAATCTTTCTTTGACTTCCTTCAGCCCCTAAAAACTATTTCAGATCCCTCTGCTATTGGGTTAATTTTTAGGACCCTGTACAGTTTCTTCACAGGCACTTATCAAAATTCCAGTTTATTAAGTAATTTGTTGTATGACATCTATCTCCACACACAAGATTGTAATGCAACTTCAGATTAATAAGAATAGAGACTGTGTCTCTTTTCTTATAATTTTCTTCTTAGGTGCTATCACACCTCTTTTTTAGTACCTCTTTGTTAAGAATTTGTTTGGTGAATTAAGAAATCTTCATTACCTTCTTCCTCCCCAGGTGACCCAATCATGCCCATGACTTCAATTAACATCTTGTTGATAATTCCCAAATCTGTTCTTATAGGTTATGCCTCACTCCATAGTTCCAGGTTCATATTTCCAATTGTCTCTTAAAGACCTGTAGCTGATTATAGTATAGGTACTTAAACTCAACTGAATGAAAAGTTAATTCACTGTCTTTTCCTATAGATCTGTTTTTCCATTTCTTATTGTACCACCTTCTACACAGTCATCAACACTGGAAACTCAGAATCAAGTTTTATGCCTACTTTTATTTCACTAACTACAAACAATTAGTCACTAAGCCTTGTCAATGCTGCCTCCAAGGATCTTGATTACATTTGTCCTTTCTCCATCCCATTGACATTCCCTTAGTTTAACAGTATTCAGTTATTTTTTTCTAAAATACTTAGTAATGCAATTCCCCAACTCAAAAACCTTCAATGAAAGAATTTTAAAAAATTTAAAAACTATAATGCCTCCACTACCTATAGAATAAAATTCAAGCCTCTTAGCACAACATAAGAAGCTCTTCACAATCTGACTAGACATATTTTTTCTATTTTCATCACATCGGTCATCTTTGTTCTCTAGGAATAATATTATTTGTTTATTCTTCAACATATCACATGCTTTCATGCCTCCATGGTTTCTCTCATGTACCCTGTACCTACAAAGCTTTTTCTACCCATTTTCTTCATTTGGCAAAATCACACATATCTTTCAAGGTCCATGCTTTTCTGCAAAATCTTTCCTATTGCCAACTTGCCAGCTTTCCCCATTCTTCTACAGGCAAAATTAGTTCCTCTATCCTCTCTCTTTTCTTCCAGAACTTTTTCTATTGTATTTTGTATATAGCTTAGTAGAAAATGTAATCCAGATCATAGATGCATAGCCAGAAACAGCTAGGGGCTCAGACACGTTTAGACATGTTTGGATGAACTGATGAGACAAGCTCAGCTGAAGTCTATTTTCGGAGGAGTCTTCTGAAAAATAACTCCAGCTGTGTCCACTGCTGGGATTCAAACATATCTGGGCATGTCAAGCAAGTCTAAGGATCAGCCAAACAAAAACTCATTTAGAAGAAAAAATGAAGAGCCTTCACAAGAGAATTTATCTTTAAAATAGAAATAAGAAGGCACAATGAACGTAACTTACTAATATAGGAATAGTTTGCAAAGGGAAATAGAGATTTTTTTTTTTAATATAGCACAGCCCCTGTTTTTCAAATCTTCAGGGGCTAGAGGTCTAACATCAGAAGATATAGAAGCAGTGAGCTAATAAAATTTATGTACTGTTAAGAGACAATAGACCCAAAATGGAAACATTTGCACTAAGCCCCACATCAGCAAACCAAGACTTAATACCTAACCTAATTGCAATTTCAACCTCTCCCAGGAATATAATCTCAAACCAGTCTATCTGGAATTTCCTGGTCAGCAATGGTGAGGTAATTTGCCTGATAAATCCCTTCCACCCCCAAAGAAAGATGAGGTAATTTGCTCTTTCTTTGTCCCCACCCCCTCTGCCTATAAAAGTCTGACATTTTGGTCAGTTCTTTGGAGCTTCTTTCTATTTACTAGATGAGATGTTGCTCGATTCATGAATTGCTGAATAAAGCCAATAAGATCTTTAAAAATTTACTAAGTTGAATTTTGTTTTTTAACAGATTTGGTGGCAGTGGAAGGATCTGAAGTGAACTTCTGATTGCTTCAGGGACAATGAGGAACACAGGTATGGTATCCATGAACCCTTTTCAGTTTTCTGTATTTCTCACCATTTCTGAGAGCTGTGGGTAAGTTTCTCTTGGTTTTGAGCTTCATTCTCTTTGTCTCGAGCTCCTGATCTAATTGAATTTCCAGTCCACAATTCCCCATTTGTTTGGAATTCAAGTCTAGTTCACAGTCTCCATTTGTTGAGGTGTGCTGTTTCAATCCTTTCTCCAGTCCAAGGTTCCATGGTAGGTATCACTGGTGGTGCACACAGAGCCTTCTCTTGACCAGGACATAGTAACATCTATTGGATACTGCCCATATATTAAGGTGCACATATTTGCCTTGTTTTGTGTAGATAAAGGCTATTGCTAATGGGGATCTCAGAATCGAAAAAGCCAGAAAACTTTGTGGGCATGTATCAAGCACTTAAGAGCTATTAGAATACTCGCCAACTAACTCAGATTCCCACGTTAGGATAAGTTGGTCATAGAATAGGTTAGTTTGACACTAGGTCACCTGCCAACCTCAAGAAATTTTCAGTATAATGAGGCATACTGTAAAACACCACAGTCTTCATTCAACCCAGTAGCAAATCCCCTTTAGGTATTAGTTTGGCTCTAAGAAACCCAGAGATTTAAAATAATGGGATTTTTAAATTTGAAAGAGTTGAGCATGCCACCTTCAGGCACACCTGCTTACTTTATTTCTAAAGACTATAGTCCTGGAATCTGTAGGTTGCTACAAAAAATGCCAGAATTATACTAAAAACAGCCTAGAGTTACAATGATCATTATGGGGAATGTTCCAATTAGACAAGATCACGCATTTAAGAAGTGCACTTGAAAATAAGGGTTCCCTAATCAACAAGAATGGGATACCTAATTTTAAAATTTTATTTATTTATTTATTTGGATGTGTTGGGTCTTAGTTGTGGCATGCAGGATCTTTTAGTTGTGGCATGAGGGATCTAGTTCCCTCAGCAGGGATCGAACCCGGACCCCCTGCACTAGGAGCTCAGAGTCTTAACCACTGGCTCACCAGGGAACTCCCTGGGATACCTAATTTAATTGGTATGTGGAAGCTTCCAAAAGCTTCAATATTCCAAAATAGCTTCATTGAAAGGTTCATTGCAAAAAGGCTAATGAAATAATAAAGAACACACCTAAAACAAAAGACTATAAGACTGACATAACTCCTACTGCTTCACTCTTTTAATTGAGTACTAATTTTACTAATCTTCTCCCTGGAATGTCTTTCCACTCTCAAGAAACTACAAGACCATAAACAAAATTATGCCAATTAGTGGCCTTATAGACACCTCCATATCTACCATCAAAGGAGGGCCCCTCCCAGAGTTGAGGAGTCTCTGAGGGATTTCTAGTAAACTGCTATTTTATTCCCTTAAACAGCCAAGGGAAACTAAAATTAAAGTTAATACAAAACCTTACCATAATAGAGCTACATTGCCTACTTTAAACTCCACTCAGAGCTTGCAGATGGGATCCTGGAAACAGTGGCAAAAGCTGGCTACGGGTGAGAACTCTTACCAGAGTCAGATCTCTTGAATCTCTGTCTGTAGTATCCAATAAATAGAGGAAAATAAAATATATTTTGCACCCTTTGGTGATGCCTCTTGAGTCAAAGGGGATGTTCCATACTGCCAGAAATATTTACTGTTTGTCCCAGCTAGAAACAACACAGTAGATCTGTGGTCAGAAATTGGCCAAATTACAGAGTCTGATAAAACATTTTTTAGCATTTCTCCTCTAAGCTAAAATAAAACTATGTACCCAGAGGGAGGGGGAAAAAAAAGTTCTAAAGCCCTTGTAAAAGGATTTATGGGTAAATCAACTTATGATGTCATTTAAGTTGCAACCTAATCCCTTAAGGAATTAAAAGCAACTGTCCTTATCTTACAAATCTTTGAAAAACTAGAAATGTGGCGCCAGGAACTCTTATTTAGGACATCTCTTTAAAATACCAACTTTGGGGAAAAAATTCTAATCAGAAGAAAAACAAAAGGAGCAAAAGTTATATTGAAATTTAGTCAAATAAAAAATCTTAAGTGTCTTCTTCACAAATATTAATAAAAACCTTTAGCCATCTGAGGAGGGTAGCCTTAAATTATTCCATCTTCCGTGAATGTAATTTGGATCCAAACCTCTTTTATAACTACCTGATTTCATGGCTAAAATATTAAAAGAGAAGCTATAATGTCTCTGTTTGCATATATCTTTATATTTTTGTGTCTATGTATTAATATATGTGTTGTATATGTATGGTATTTTCCACATCTGGATTGTATTATTAAAATTATTCTGTAAAAAAGCTCTATTTAATTTGCCTAAAGAAAATTAAGCATTTATATGCAGTACATATTCATAAACTTCCTATGAATATAATAAAAACAAACCTAAATGCTTTACAGGTTCACATGACCTAAGATAATTTTTAGTAAATAAAAGCTAGTTTAAGTTTCATGGTTTAATTAAAATAGACATATTTTTAGAGTTATCAATATTAAAAGTAATGCAGACATACAACTTTTATTCTACCTGGGTTTACTAGTCTAATAAGTTTTGTTATCTCTGTTACAAAACTTGTCAGTAAGAAAAATGATGTGGGAAAGACCTTCAAGATGGCGGAGGAGGGCTTCCCTGGTGGCACAGTGGTTGAGAGTCCGCCTGCCAATGCATGGGACGCGGGTTCGTGCCCCAGTCCGGGAAGATCCCACATGCCACGGAGTGGCTAGGCCCATGAGCCATGGCCGCTGAGCCTGCACGTCCGGAGCCTGTGCTCTGCAACCAGAGAGGCCACAACAGTGAGAGGCCCGTGTACCGCAAAAAAAATAAATAAATAAATAAAAATAAGATGGCAGAGGAGTAAGACGTGGAGATAACCTTCCTCCCTACAAATACAGCTACATGTGGAACAACTCCTACAGAACACCTACTGAATGCTGGCAGAAGACAGACTTCCAAGAGGGCAAGAAAATCCCCACGTACTTTGGTAGGGCAAAAGAAAAAAGAGAGAGACAAAGGAATAGGGACAGGTCCTGCACCTCTGGGAGGGAGCTGTGAAGGAAGAAAAGTTTCCACACACTAGGAAGCCCCCTCACTGGTGGGGACGGGGTGTGGGGAGCTTTGGAGCCACAGAGAATAGTGCAGTAACAGACGTGCAGAGAGCAAAGTGGAGAGATTCCTGCACAGAGGATTGATGCCGACCAGAACTCACCAGCTTGAGAGGCTTGTCTGCTCACCCTCTGGGGAAGTTGGGGACTGGGAGCTGAGGCTCATGCTTCAGAGGTCAGACCTCAGGGAGAGGACTGGTGTTGGCTGTGTTAACACAGCCTGAAGGGGGCTAGTGCATCACAGCTAGCCAGGAGGGAGTCTGGGAAAAAGTCTGGACTTGCCTAACAGGCAAGAGACCATTGTTTTGGTGTGCACAAGGAGAGGGGATTCCTATTCCATGTTCCCAGATATGGCAGGGCACTGCCTAAGTGAGCTCCAGACACAGGTATGAGCCACAACTCTCATCTCGGACCCCAGAAGCAGGCATGGACCATGACCACTGCCACCACTGCCACCAAAAGTCCTGAGTGCAAATGCAGGTCACTACACACACCCTCCCAGGAGCCTGTGCAGCTCACTACTGCCAGGGTCCCGTGATCCAGGGCCAGCTTTCCCAAGAGAACACACAGCACACATAAGGCTGTTGCAACTACACACTGACCTCTGCCACAGCAGTCACTACCTGCAGCCTAGTTATGACGACCATACCCCTCCCTCTTCCCAGCCTGAGTGAGCAAGAGGGCCCTAAACAGACGCTGTTATAACCCCCTCCTGTTGGGTCAGGAAACAGATGCCTGAGGGAGACCTACACACAGAGGCAGGACCAAAATCAAAGCTGAACCCCAGGAGCTGTGCGAACAAAGAAGAGAAAGGGAAATCTCTCCCAGCAGCCTCAGGAGTAGCAGATTAAATCCCTGCAATTGGCTTGGTGACCCCTGCATCTGTGGAATATGAGTAGACAGGTAGACAATGAGTGTTCCTAAAATTGAGGCAGTGGGCTTTGGGGCCAACTGTGAACTTGGGATTTGCTTTCTGCGTTTGATCTGTTTTTGGTTTTATGTTAACCTTAGTTTAGTTTTTAGTGTTTGTTTTCATTTGTTGGTTTGTTTACTGGTATGGATGTGCTCTTCCTTTTTTTTCTTTTTCTTCTCTTTTTGTGAGTGTGTATGTTTCTTTGTGTGATTTTCTTTGTTTAGTTTTGGTTTTACCATTTGTTTTGGGGTTCTGTCCGTTTTTTGTTTCTTTGGTTGGTTTGTTGTTTTTGGTTTTGGGGTATTATTTTCTTCCTTATCATCCAAGCCGTGTGGCTGGCAGGGTCATGGTGATCCGGCCAGGTGTTGGGCCTGAGCTTCTGAGGAAGAAAAGCCGAGCCCAGGACACTGGATCACCTGAGATCTCCCAACCCCATGTAATATTAATTGGCGAGAGCTCTCCCAGAGATCTCTGTTTCAACACTAAGACACAGCTCCACCCAACTGCCAGCAAGCTCCAGTGCTGGAGACCCCATGCCAAACAACAAGCAAGACAGGAACACAACCCCACCCATTAGCAGAGAGGCTGCCTAAAGTCATACTAAGCTCACAGACACCTCAAAACACACAACTGGATGCGGCCCTCCCCACCAGAAGGACAATATCCAGCCAAACCCACCAGAACACAGGTACCAGTCCCCCACCCCAACCAGGAAGCCTACACGAGCCACTGAACCAACCTTACCAACTGGGGGCAGACACCAGAAATAAGAGGAACTACAATCCTGCAGCCTATGAAAGGGAGACACCAAACTCAGTAAGTTCAACAAAATAAGACAGGGAAATATGCAGCTGAAGAAGGAACAAGGTAAAACCCACCAGACCAAAAAATGAAGAGGAAAGAGGCAGTCTACCTGAAAAAGAATTCAGAGTAATGACAGGAAAGATGATCCAAAATCTCAGAAATAGAATGGAGA